TGGTGAGATCTTGTCTCTACAGTTCATCAAAAAACTGGCCAGGCATGGTGGCCCATGCCTGTAGTTCCAGCTACTTGGAAGTCTAAAGCAGAAGGATCGCCTGAGCCCAACAGGTAAAGGCTGTGGTTGCTGTGAGTGTGCCACTGCATTCCAACCTGGGTGACAGAGTGAGACTCCAACTAAAACAAAAACAAAAGAAGGTGACCTTATTGAAAATAGGGTATTTGTAGACATAATTTGTTAAGATGCAGTCATACTGGATTAGGGTGGGCCCTAAATCCAGTGACTAGAGTTCTTATATAAGAAGCCCATGTGAAAACCTAGAAAGGAAAAACTATGAAGGCAGAGATTAGAGCCCCAAATGCCAAGGACTGCCAGCAACCACCAAAAGCTAGGAGGAAGGCACAGGGTGGTTCCTGCCTCAGAGCTTCTAGAGGGAACCAACCCTTGCCAATACCATGATCTTGGATTTCTGGCCCTCAGAATTGTGAGAGAATCCGTTTTTGTTGTTTTAATCCACCTAGATTGTGGTACTGCTATGGAAACCAATATGCCAGTGCAGGGGGCTGTGGGTTGCCCATGTTGACCCAAGAATGCCCTACCCTTCTGGTGTTCCCTCCACGTCTCAATACCTCCTTCTCTCCTTCTTACCTCATCTTCCCAGAGATTACAAATGGTGCTCTGAACTGCATCCTGGTCCCCATGTTTCTCATTCTTCTCTCAGTTCATCGCTTTCTGTTGTTTTCCTTCCAATGGTTCTTAATCTGCCTCCTGAGCTCCATCCCAAACCTCCCTCCCAGATGTCTCCCTAGATGGTTCTCAGGATGCCTGCTCTCACTACATCTCAGACCACCCTCCTTCCCATAAGGGTAGTTTCTCTCATTTCCTTCCCCCACTAAGGACCCCTAACTATGCCTTTTCCCTATATGCACCAGCTCATATTTTTCTCCAAAGACAGCCACAACAGTATCTCATTCAGCACACTCTTCCTACAATGAAAGTTGACACTTATCCTATAGAGAGGTGAGTCTGTGTCCCCAACTCTGCAAATTTGGGTGGGCTTTTCTGATTACTTTCATGAATGGAATATGGCAGAAGTGTTATCATGTGGCTTTTGTAGCTAGATCATAAAAAGTAATAATGGAGTTGGACATGGTGGCTCATGCCTGTAACCCCAGCAATCTGGGATGCCAAGGTGGGAGGATCACTTGAGCCCAGGAATTTGAGACCAGCCTAGGCAACACAGTGAGACCTCATCTTTGCAAAAAATCAAAAAGTTAGCTGGGCACCTGTAGTCCCAGCTACTTGGGAGGCTGAGGCGGGAGGATTACCTGAGCTCAGGAGGCTGAGGTTGTGGTGAACAGTGATGCCACTGCACTCCAGCCTGGGTGCCAGAGTGAAACCCTGACTCAAAAAATAAAATAAAAACCACATAGATTCTGCTGTATTGATGTGAATTCTTGCTTCCTGAAGCCTTCAGCTACCATGTAAGCAGTCTATTCACTCTGAGGCCACCATACTGTGAGGATGTTCAACTATCCATATGGAGAGACTCTGAGCTGACATACAGCAAGAAGCCCACCCAGCTCCCAGTATTCCAACTTCCTTCTTTCCAGCTATACCCACACCTCACTGTAACTGCATGAAGAACCTGGACTACAACCACCTAACTGAGCCCTTCCCTAAATTCCTGACCCACATAAACTTTGAGGGTTAATGAATGTTTAAAGACACTAAATTTTGGAATGATTTATTGTGATGTAGATATTGATAACTAGAACTCTTTCCCTCATCTGCAGGCACAAAGCCCACTCACTACCTTCTGCCTCCAAGGACTGTCCCACTCCTCCAGGGCCCAAGGTGGGATTGGTGTGTAGAAGGCCCAGCCCAAGGCTTACTGATGTAGGGTGAGATGATAGGACAGTTGGGCAGATCCTCCTCACTGATGTCTGCAGGGTGGATGTGGCTGAGGTTGGAGTAGACGTCCTGGTGAGGGATTCCCAGAGAAGAGACCTGGGCCAGAAAGGGCAGCTCTTTTCTTACCGCTGGCCTGTCTTGTATCAGGAAGCTCAAGAAGGAGGCCAAATCACGGTAGTGGTGGTTTTGATAGAGGAATGTCCCCACAAGCAGCAGTTGCACCCCCAAGAGCAATAACAGGAGGCCCCTCTGCTGTTCCACTCTGGGAAAGGAAACAGAAAGTCATTCTTCCCATTCTGCAAGCCCTTACTTTTACCCACAGCCTCACATGATTCAGTCCCAGGCTCCTGCACGCAGCCTTCCCTGATGGCTTTGCAGACTTCACAGAGGAGAGACCCAAGAGAGACTGGCCCAAGACCACTCAATTTCACACCACTTGTGTGAAGAACGCGACCACCTTGTGCCCAGCCTCATCTCTTCCAGCCTGGCCCCTTCCAAACCTTCTGGCCACACCAGATACCAGGTGGGCTGCTTCCTTGCCCAAGAAACTCAAAATTCCTAAGCCTCAATGTCCTTGTCTATAGAGTGGGGTTTATGGCTGGATCTGCCTTATAGGGCTGTTTTGCTGAGACATGTAGTGTGCATAGGTCAGGGCGTCACCTGGGTCCCACATTATTCCAGGACTGAACCAGGTTCTCTCTAGTCCCCAGCGCCCTATACAGAAAGAGCCCTAAACCCCTTCTGCCTACCCCAAATGCCAAGTAGCCTCTAGTGGCTTCCACGGCCTCAGTGTCTGCATCCACCGCAATCTAATTATCCTGGATTGTGACTGTGCATGCCAGCCTCCTTATTCATGACTGGGAGCTTACTGAGGGCAGGGTTCAGGGTGGACCCTGAGTCCACCACAGGAGGCCCCAGAAACTAGATGAATGAATGAAGGCGTGTGTGCAGATGTGCTTCTATCTACGGCTATTTCAGAGCCATCGCAAGTGCTCTTGGTCGAGGGAGTGTTCTCCAAGCCTTTCACTCTCTCTCCATCCTCACCTTGTTCAGCCTTTCCTGGTGTCTTGTTCGTCACAGTCCTGGTCAGCAGAACGGGAATGATCCCTGTCCAGGTCTCTCTCCTTCTGCAGACTGGGAGCCCTGTGAGGGAAGGGCTCAAGCATGACTCGCGTCTGGGTCCTCAGCACCCTCAGCACAAAGGCTCAGCACTTATGTATGTCTTCCTCTGTGTCTACTCAGTACCCATTTTGTGCTGAGCATTATTGTAGGAATCAAAGATACAATCACAAACAAAATCAACAAAACCAACCATTGCTTTGTTAGACTCTGGTATGTCCATGTGGCTCTTTGAGCTATGGCTGCCATGTTTCCTGGCTTTGGCCCTCCACCCTATCTCGGGGAGGTGAACCTCCTCTCTCTCTCTAATTTACTTTCTACATAAACTATGTTTTCCAATCTAAAAAAAAAATCTACAGAACCTCTGCCTCCATGAAACCTACATTCTGGTGAGGAAGATCATTTCAGAGAGAGAAAAATCTAAAAAGGTGAATAGCACAGAGATTAGAAGGAGGTTATTTCTGCAAGGGTGGCTGAGGAGGTGACGTTTAATCTGAGACCTGGAAGATGAGAAGGAGGCAACCACCGGAAGTGCTTCTGGCAGAGGAAACGGCAAGTGCAAAGGCCCTGCGGTGGGAAGGGAAGTGTGCTGGAAAGAGTGGTAAGAAACAAGGTCAGAGTGGCGACCAGAGCTGGAGGTGGATATGATCTGACTCGCACATATTTAAAGATTGTTCCAGAGCAGTGGTTCTCAGTGGGGGAGATTTTGACCTCCAGGGGGCATTTGGCAATGGCTAGAAACATCTCCGATTGTCATGACTTGGGAGTGAGGTGCTGCTGCCTGTGGGTGGGTAGAAGCCAGGGCTGCTGCTCAACATCCTACAGTACACAAGAAAGTCCCACCTTACCCACCAAAAAATATTAGCAGAACTGAGGCTGAGATACTCGACTCTAGGCGGTGTGGTATGTTCTTCACCAGTGGAGGATGACCTAGGAGGGAAGGACGTCTCTGTCTTTGTTTCCCTCTCCATATCCCTTCCTCTTCCTCCCCCTCCCTTTCTCTCCCTCCTCCCTCCATCCCTCCATTCATCTTCCTTTTTCTCTCCCCGCTTCTCTCCATCCCCCATCCCGACTTTCTCCCCACTCTCTCCTTCCCTCTGCTCTTCTTTCCTCTCCCTCTTCTCTCTTCTCTCTCCTCCTTCGCTCTCCCTTCATCTCCTTCTCCCCCTCCTTTATCCTGTCGTTCCTCTCATTCAGCTCCTCTCATTCCTTCGTTCTTGCCCTCCTTCCCTGTTCCCTTCTTTCATCTCCCTCTCCCTCTCTTCCCCTCCCTCACTCTTCTTTCTCTCTCCTTCCTACACTCCCTTCCCTTCTTTTTCTCCCTACCCCTTGCCTCTACTCCCTTCTCCTCTCCCCCCTCCCCTCCTTTACCCACTCTCTCCTCTCCCTCTTCCTCTCTCCTCTCCCCCACCCCCATCCCATCATCTTCCTCTCCAAACTCCTGCTTGAAGCGGTATCAACTTTTCTCCATAAAAAGGGTCAGGGAGAGTTCAGAATTTCTGCTCTTTTATAGACTCATGGAAGACAAGGACTGGTTCATGAACCCGAGCGCCTCCCTTTGGCTGTAGGGTAAAGAAAGAATCCTGGGATATTTGCCTGTGCTTTGAGGTCTCCTAGCTGATACCTTGTTTGAATTTATGCTAGGAGAGAAGGGTGCTGCATTTACAATGGAAACTGGCAATCTTGAGGAATGATGGCAGGGAACTGGATGGATTCTTTGCTCTCCAGGTTCACCCCAGGGGATGCCTTTGAGCTGGAAGCAAATAGGCCCCAGGAATAGATTTGTAGTATGTGTGTTCCCCACACTGGTCCCATGTGTCATTCTGAAGCCAAAGCTGAAGGAAATGAATAGATGCTTCAATGAGCTCACCAAAAGGCACTGAGAAGTTATACACAGGCTACACACTAAGTCAGCAAGTACATTTTTAGATGAATCAGAAAACTGTCTCATTGAAGAAACAGGCCCAGGGATCAAAATCTTTATTGTGGGGCAGGGATAGGAAATTCTTCCGTTTTGGAGCACTGAGAAAACAAGAATCCAGTGTCAGTCTGCTGGTCGAATTTTTCCCAGCTTTTCAACTGGAAAGACAGCTTACTAAGGGATGTTGTTTTATGGAATGCCATCCAGACTTTGAGTGACACTCCCAGATCCAGACTCTCCTCCTTTAAGCAAAACAAGAAGAAGAAACTATGTTGACTTCACGATAAGATGGAAGTACACCCCACTCACACAAAGATGACCATCAGTCAAGATGGGCCCATCAGTCATACCAGGTGGGCTGCTTCCTTGGCCAAGCCCACCCAAATGACTCACACCTCACAAACTTCAGCTAGATTTAATGCTATTTTGGAAGGACCAAAACCATTCTTTGGAATAGCCTGGTAGAGTTGGCCCAACATCAACTTATGCTCATGTTTGCTGGGATGAAAGTAGCGGGGCTCATGATAATTTTTATTTCCCAGCCATGGATGCTGTACAAGTGGCCGTGCCTAAGCCACACCACATTGGTTGGTGTTTAGCTGTTCTGCAACAGGAGGAGCCAACAAGACCTCACTAATGACTCTATCTCCCTTTCCTCCGCCTGGGCACCGATGAGCTTAAAGGAGTGGCGTATCTTAAGTGGTGTGTGTGGTTTCAGAGCATGATGCTACCCGCAGGCATCAGAAGCATCTGGCATTTCTGTGGAGCCACCTTCACAGCAAGTGTGTTGATTTCATGTCATCCACCGTGAGGATGCCCAGACTCACATTGCCAGACTTCCTCCTTCTGGTTCTGGCACAGGGAGGGCTGCTGCTATTGAAAGTATAGAACTGAGTAAAAACAACTCCAACTGCACAGGAAACTTGAGAGAGGCATTTTATTTTCATCTTTTGGAGTCAGCCTCACCACAGCCTCAACCTCCTGGGCTCAGGTGATCCTTCCACCTCAGCCTCCTGAGTAGCTGGGACTACAGGTGCATGTACCACACCTTGCTAATTCTTTGACTGTTTGTAGTGATGAGGTCTCACTATGTTGCCCAACTCCTAGGCTCAGGCCATCCTCCCAAAGTGCTGAGATTCAGGCATGAGCCATCATGCCCGGCCAAGAGAGACATTTTAGAACTTTGGAGTTCTGTTGGTTTTAATAAATATTATTTTCTTATTCCTTGTTTTGTAGTTCCTATTGCAATGATAGGGATCATGACTTAACACATAGTGCTACTGTATTTGGAGTTCTTGATGATGAAAATTTAATTCTAAACAATTCTTTAAAACAGAATTTGGCAAGCATTACCATGTGACTAAAGATTCCATTTCACTATTGTGGAAAGGTGAAGCAAGTATGATGAAATTAATGGCTTTTTAAAAATTTCCCCCAAAGTTACATAAGATTCAAGACAAAAATACTTTAAACTAGCAGCAACTCTCATGCATGTCGCATGATTCTAATTAGTAGAGTGTAATCCACATTTTCCAAGTGATGTGATATGTTTAATACTTACGTAATTTCATTTGTGGAAAACAAGCTCTCTCTGGCCACCATGGTGTTCTCATACATCCCTCAAGAACCTACTGTGAGCTGGGAGATCTTCCTCAATGGGTCCGAACTCCCTGGTTCCCCTTTGGAAGTAGGTCCTTCCTCCTCAACAGGTCCTTAGCATATGCCCTGGCCCCAGCTCTGTTTTCTGAGTCAGATTGAGGGAGACATTGGTTAGAGGATGAGAATGCCCAGAGCTCGCTCTGATCCAACCCAGGCTTATCAGGCTCCTCTGTTCAATGAAAAAGAAGAGGTTAAGGTAGAGAGGGCCTTTGGCTGACCTAAGTAACACAATATAGACTCTTCAAAACCCACACTATCCAGAAAGCATATAGCAGAAAATAGGAAAAGTGTGCAGACCAAACACACTTTCCAAAGAAAATGTAACATTAGAAATGTGAGTTTCTTTCTTAGGAATGGAATAGTCTTTTTTTTTCTTCAGGAAAATATATCTTTCTTTGGATGTTGGTTCAGAAATACAAGCTCTAAATCAGATTGGTCTTTTCCTCTGAGACAGCTGATCTGTGTCACTCCCTAAACTTCTTGACCTTCTAGGAGGTAAGAAATGTCTTTCAGGATGTAAAATTGGTTTATGTAACAAAGAAGATGGCTTCAAAGTGGGGTATGTACACAAGCATCTGAGGACTTCTGCATGACTTTGTGTATTCTTATTTTATACATTCCAGTGAAGGTAAAGCTTGGCTTATGTTGAGATGCTCTGTGTTCAAAACAACTGAAGCATTATGATTAGTGAACCTAATTTTAAAATAAAAAAATTAATTGCAGTGCTTTCAGGGACACATTTTAAATAAATTACACTAGATAAAATAGGTAAAAATTAATGATCTGTTAGAATCTGTATGCATCACTCCCTAAGGTCATTAAACCTGTTTAATTGAGTCATGTCATGAAATATTTATTAATAGGCAATCCTCATCTCAAGACACCTTATAAAATGTATAATGCTTTCTACTTCCAAGTAACAACAACAAAAACCTTACTTAATGCTGAAAAATTTCAGATGTCAACTGAAATAAGTGAGATGGTAGTACAAAGTTTTTCAAAATTATTTTGCAGTTTCCCAAGCAAAAGTGTCTTAGGATGACTATAATACACACACACACACACACACACACACACACACACAAACACACACACACCCCAACCCCTCGTGTTTGAGCTAGTTTCAACGTTTGTGAACAATTGCTTTTATAATTTTCTAAGTCATAAAACAGGGGCTGATAAATTACTGGATCAGAAGTATGCTTATTACACTTCTTTGTCAAAGTCTCTCGTCCTTAGGAGTGAGTCCAAGTGACTGCTAACTGTCGAGACTTACTTGTGGTCTGGAGTGGTGCTGAACAACAGAAATGCAAGTCATAGGTGTGATTTTAAATTTTCTAGTAAATTTTACATTTAAAAATAAAAATAAGATATGACTTTAATATTACAATTAACCCAAGATATCAAAATTACCATTTAAACATGTAATCAACATAAAAATGTATTATTGAGGGCTGGACATGGTGGTCATGCCTATAATCCCAGCACTTTGGGAAGGCCAAGGCAGGAGAATTGCTCGAGCCCAAGAGTTTAAGACCAGCCTAGGTAACATAAAGAGACCTTGTCTCTACAAGGAATCAAAAACTTAGCTGAGCATGGTGGTGCACGCCTGTAGTCTCAACTACTCAGGAGCTGAGGTGGAAGGATCGCCTGAGTTCATGAGGTTGAGGATGCAGTGAGCCGTGATCATGCCACTGTACTCCAGCCTGGGAAACAGAGTGAGACTCCTACACACACACATACACGCACACACACTCTCTCTCCCTCCCTCCTTCCCTCCCTCTCTCTCTCTCTCTACACACACACACACACACACACACACACACACACAATTAGTAAGATATTATACATTATCTTTTTCACATAAAGTCTTCTAATCTGGTATATATTTTACATTTATCACACAGCTCAATTCAGACTAGCCATAGTTCAAGTGTCCAGTGGCCACATATGGCCAAATGGGTACCTTATCGGACAGTCATGCTTAGAACATCTATCTACATACAACCCATGTGTGTCTAGAAAACACATGTATTGCCAAATCATTGGTTGCAGGGTTACATTTATGTCCATTAGTTCAACTTGTTAGTGGTCTTGTTTAAATTTTCCATAGCTGTATAGTTTTTGTCAGCTTGGTCAATTACTGAGATATGTTAAAATGTCACAGTGCTTCTGGAATGTGCCTATTTCTTCTTGTCATCCTGTTAACTTGGCTTTATTTCTTTTGAAGCTATGTTGTTAGGTATCTTCAAGTTTAAAATTGTTTTATCATCCTGGTTATCTTTTTCATTTGTGATGACACTTTTATTATTCACAGTGCTTTTTGACTCGAAATATATTTTATCTGGTGCTTTACATAGGTACACTCAGATTCCTTCCGGTTATTTTCCTCGTATGTTTTCCCATATGTTTACTTTCATACTTCTCTGAGTCCTTCTTCATTAAATATGGGTCTCATGTAAATAGCACATAATATCTTTTTTCTTTTTAACACTTCTAGTGATAAAGAAAAATTTGCAAGTTCCTATTCTCTCCACAGCAAGTCTTAACAAACATATTTCCAAAAAATTTCCTCCAACCTAAACCAACACCAAGCATTCAGATTTTATTGACTAACATATTCCACAAAGGGAGTCCCAACACTTACCCAGTGCTGGCCCATTTCAACCTCAAGGCCGCCCTGATGTCATAGATAAGGACACTGAAGCACAGACAGAAGTCATTTACCCAAAGTCACTCAGATATAAGAAACAATCCTAAATTTTAGGCGAGGCCTGTGCATGTGACTTCAACATTCTTTCCACTGCCTGGTTGAGTGTGTTGCAGAACAAGGGTGGCAGCAGTCAGAGAAGGCTTTCCCAAAGAAGTCATTTACTGGTAGGCTCTGGAGGATAGGTAGCTATTCGTCCCCCATGTAAAGGGGGAACGGGCATTCTGGGCAGAGGTGTGGAGACATAAGAGATCCTAGTGCACTTAGGTGCTGGTGGTAGTGGTATCTAATATTTACTGAGTGCTTACTATGACTCGAGTTGCTTCTCATCTACTAAGCAAGGATTTTTCAACCTCAGCACTACTATGTTGGGCAAGTTAATTCTTTGTTGTGCGTTAGAAATTTGGTAACATCCCTGGCCTCTACCTACTAAATTCCAGTATCCCAACCCCAGTTGTAACAACCAAAAATGTCTCTGCCAAACAACCCTGGGGTGGGAGGAGCAAAATCATCCATTTGAGAACCACTGTTCTAATCCTATAAGGATATTATATTAATCTAATCCTATAAGGATATTATATTAATATCTCTATTTTGGGGTGAGGAAATGAGGCCTAGAAAGGCTATATAACTTGTTCATGATTATACAACTAGGAGATGGTACTTCTCAGAATCTGACCAGGCACTGTGGCCCCAGAGCCTGTCCTTAACTACCATATCCCATGGCAATAGCTGTCTGTTCCTGAGCCTTGTTCACTGAGGTGCCAAAGACAGGAGACAAGAAAGAAGCAAGCAAGGAGCAGCTTAGGAAGGACCTTGAACATTTTGCCTGCTCTGCAACTACTAAGCATTGTGTCCAGCAATGCTGGGGACTCAGATTAAAATCCAACTGAATCCCTCCTTCAAGGAGCTTCCAACCCAAAGACAACTAAGCTGATAACTAGCCACAGCCCCAGGTGACAGAACCTCTGAGGGACCAGGAGTTGTGGGAGCTCAGAGGCAGCTTACTAATCCAGTGCAGGAGAGAAGGGAGGTCCAGTAGGCTTCTTGGAGGAAGTACATCCAAGTGGCCACCCGGATGGAAGTAGGAATCAGTGTGTTTGGTGAGGAAGAAAAAGTCTTCAGGAAGACGAAATGGCACATACAAACACTGGCAGAAAAAGGTATTTCGGCCAGGTATGGTGGCTAACGCCTATAATCCCAGTACTTTTGAGCCAAGGTGGGAGGAATGCTTGAGTCTAGGAGTTCAAGACCAGCCTGGGCAACATAGCAAGTCCTCATCTCTACAAAAAAAAAAAAAAATCAAAAAATTTCCAGCCATGTGAAAGGATTGCCTGAACCCAGTAGGTGGAGGCTGCAGTGGCCGTGATTGTGCCACTGCACTCCAGCCTGGGTGACACAGGGAGACTCTGACTCAAAAAAGAAAAAATGAAAGGAAAAAAAGAGTTATTTTGCTGACAAATGTGGGGTCCTGCCAGAAGTTCAATGGTAAAATATGAAGCTGAAAAGTCATCAGGGCCAGGTAGAAAATGCCAGGCTGTGGGACTTGGCCCTTACCCTGTAAGTGAAGAGGAGCTACCAATAATATGCCCTCTCTGGAAGTCCGCTGCCACCAACCTACAATTACCACAGAATATTAAGTTAATATGTTACAACATGAATTTAAAACATAAAGCTTCTGCAAAGTATCCATGTGAAACCTCTCCTCAGACCTTGCCAGCTTGTTGAAGAACATGGCCAGTACTGACTAGAGCAATGTGTATATAGTGAACTTGTCTTGAGCCATGATTGAACCTCAACACTGTCAATTATTGCTGCCCCAAGGGTATGATGTAAGGAACCAGAGCACACCCCTTTTTACAGCACTTACTGTGTCAAGCACTGGTTTGAGTACTTCATATACATATATATATATAAATTCTAAATATTAGTATATATTAATCCTTCCAATAACCGCTATTATTATCCTCATTAAACCCATGAGGCACAGAAAGCTTAAGTCATTTACTCAGGGCCACACAACTAAGCAAGTGGAATAGACATGTAGACAGGGTGGCTTTTGTATACTCTTTTCTTCACTGATGCCCATTTAAGGGGAACCTTTTTACTAGTTTCCATTCAAAAGTATATGAGCAGTGTTGAGATTAGCTTAAATATTTAGTCAAACAAACTTCTGAAGCAGAAAATGAAAACCAACCCAGAAATACTTGAATGTAGTGTACTATAGTTTGGGAGTAAAAAAACCAAGGTGACAGGGGAGTATCACTTAGGACAGGGTTTCCCAACATTGGGACGACTAATAATTGGGGATGGAAAATTCT